CATTCCCAAAGGGTGAACATTAACAAGATTTTATGTACATTAGAATTATAAATGGGCTGATAAATCAATGTCTTGCTCATTTAATGTGCCTGAACTGCAACGAAGAACTAGCTGCTTTTTCTTTCCTAATCCTTACTATCGTCATTTTTCCTCTACGTGTTGTATGTTTGTCACACTCTTGTGACCCACTATTTCCGGGGTGCATTGATAGTCGAAGCAGACTTTGTGCTGTTGAAGCTAGAAAGGTGAGCAGAGAAAGCCTGATTCCCTGTATGGACTTTTCTGTTGACATCCACCTCTTGGCACTCATATAACCTTATGAAGTTGCGAGCGCCGTAAATACTCTACTAAAACAAAACAACATGATCAGGTCATGAACTGATCATAGGGAGGTAAGAAGTCACGGAAAAAAGCAAGCTCTCACAGCAGCCATGACATTATTTAGGAGCTAGTTCCCCTCGCCTTTTGGGGTAGACTCGACCAGTCAAATTGTAAGCTTACATAATCAGTGCTTGTGACTGCTTATGAGAGAGGCCCGAAAGGGGTGAACAGGGTATTTATGTGACAATGAAACATGTTTGAATGTTGTGTATTATGAACGTCTATTTACGTTTAATCTATGGAACCAACGTCTATGGGTGAATTTGACTGCGACGATGTTCCAACATTAAGAAGAGAAGCAGTGATTATTTAATTATACAGACGCTTCGCCACTGGTGGTGCCCCAAAGTTCACCCAGCGCTGTCTCACACAACTAAATCAATTACGCTAGCCCAGCGCTGTCTCACACAACTAAATCAATGACGCTGTTCATGAGGAAGTGACTAACCATCTTCTGTAAACATTATAATGAATTAATCATAATATGTGAAGCAGTTCTCCATTACTAAGCGACACAACAAATATGTTGCAAATCGTGGTCTGTAAGAATTTACACAACCATACAGTTTGTTTGTTCTACCACTTGTCTTTTTGTTGTCTGTATGGTTTGTTTTTTGTTGTTGCTGTTGTTGCTGTTGTTGTTTGCTGTTGTTTGGTTGGGGGTGGGGGGGTAAGTGTTTTACGGCGCTTGCAACTGCATAATGTCAGATGAGCGCGCAGGACACATTAAACATTTTCAGTTGGTTGGAAATTTTGAATTTTGCCTGGGTGGCGGCCGAAGCCTACTCGTATCGATTTGAGAGCACTAAGGAGTCTTCAACGTGCGCAACTTGCACACGGGCCCTCCCAGATTTTTCGCCCTTTTTCGAGAAGGCTAGGTGAAGATCTTTCCAACCAGAAGATCAGGGATGTGGCTGAAAGACAGCAGTAAGAAGGAGACAAGGAGCAGCAGTAGAAAGGTTGCAGAAAGAGTCAGGAGCCCAGAGGAGAGGGCAAATGAGGTGAGTTGATAGGGGCAGAAAGTGGAGAGGAAAGCAGACGATAGAACATTGGAGGAGAGCAGGAAAGGAGATGAAAGGAGACAATTTTAGAGAAGACAATTTTTCCGTCCTTACCGGGATTCAAACCCGGGACCTTTGAATGAGAGGCGAACACCTTAACCTCTAGGCCACGAGAGCCCCCGTCTGTATGTTTGAGTGGAATGATATTCTCAACTTTCAACACTGAACACCATTTTTCCTCAGCTAAATGTAGCCTTGTAGAAGTTGATCAGAAGAATCCGAGAGGAGAAGATGTTTAAGCCAAGAACAAAATACAAGTATGTGTAAACAGAAAAAAGAATCAGAAATAACCAAACAACAGCCTTGGGACAACGTGCTGAGGTTTATTGTACTGTTTAGTTGGCTCCTCCTGTATACATGCAGGGAACGTACAGACATACTTTTACCAACACAGACCAATTCGTGTCTGAATGATACAACAAAAAGAGAGGTAAGGTACATTTTTGTAAAGAACAAGTAGATCTACAATGATATTGATATTTAAAGGCAGTTATTATCTTTACATTGCCGACTGAGTTCCACTTCCACACACCGAGCTAACAATGTTGAAGTAGACAATAATGTATTTACATTGTCGGCTAAGTTCATTCTCTACAAACTGAACCAACAGTGTTGCAGTAGATCTATGTGTGTGTCTGTGTGTGTGTATGTGTGTGTGTGTGTGTGTGTGTGTGTGTGTGTGTGTGTGTGTGTGTGTGTGCGTGTGTGTGTGTGTGAGTTTGTGCGTTCATGGAGGCATGTACATGTTATACATATCTGTAACATCATAAGTGTACCATGGTGTGTGTACAAGCGTGACTACGCAAAAACCAGATTTTTCTGTTTTTGGAAAATATGTAAAGCGCATGGGGATCAGACTGTGGGAAGTGAGAAGAAGAATATGTATACAGTGTGGATCTATGTTTAGTATTGTTATCCTTTTCCCTCTTTCTTTCAAACAAAATAATATATGGACACAGAAGCTTCGTACATAATCAGAACACCGAGTATTCTCTGTCATAAAGCTGTCATTTTGAAAACAAATTGTCCCTTTTTCTTCTTTCCTTCAAACAAAATTAAACATGAACACACAAACTTCGTACATAATCAAAAAACCGAATATTTGCTGTCATAAAGTTGTCACTTTGCGAGTGGTCGTATTTTCATTTCACTGAAGGTGACAGAGCTGCCCCACCCTGTTACTATGTACCAACACACGCCCTTGGCCCATTTGTCTGTGGCCCACGCCCCGTTGAGATTCACTCTCCCACACTCGTTGTACCACCAAGCTCCGTGACGTATTATAGCACAGTTACCAGAATTGTTTGGATCGTTGTCACGGTCCTTTGTTGTGAATGCCTGGCCATTCTCATAACTCATTTGGTTACCTGCATTACCTCCTGAATATCCGGAGATCTTAATTTTGTAATTCTCGGATTCTCCAAGCAACAAAAAGTTTTTGTAAATGGCGTAGTAGTTTGTCCCCTGGTACGTAAAGTCAACCCGCAGCTCGTACCTCTCCTGATGATGAGAACAAGAGGAAAACTGAAACAGCTGTCGTACATATACGTCATGTAGATAGATACACGAGATCTCAACATACACACACACCCTACAGCTGTCGTACATAAACGTCATGTAGATAGATACACGAGATCTCAACATACACACACACCCCGACTGTTTTATCTCAAACTCAAACGGATATGGGCTGGACTTCACATCAATTTTACAGGTTCAAATTTGAGTTTAGGGGCCCTCACTTGTTGTGGAAAAATATGATTTAGTGAAGGCCAACTGATACAAACTGCTGAGCAAAGCATGGCGGGTGACATTGATTCAACCGTTAAAGGGATAAGTTGCGCCACGAATTTTTGTCCGCACAATACGTACCACCACTAGATCAACTTTGCTTACAAGGGTGGATTAATGTAACTTCCAAATATTATTATGGTAAGGTATCAAGGTAAGGAGGCTCTGATTTAACGTCCATCTCCGATATAACAGAGTCATGTGGGTAAACGTATGCTGCGACTACTACCTTTCAATAAAAAGAGTGACACTCATATTGAGGATAATAAAAGGAACTAATACAACGAGCAGCCATGTCTGCAGCGACAAGAACATCAGCATGGACAACAGCAGCGGCGCTCAGTTCTGTCACATAAGATTAGATTGATAATGAAAATAATTATTATGTTCTGAAGGAAATTACCTTTTTTGTCAGCAGGTGGATTTTCTCCAGCCCAAACCAGAAGTTTCCAGAGAGGTCACCGAACCCTTTTTTGTAGTCCACCCAGCCCCGGTAAAAGTCCACGTCGGCCGAGGCACGCCTCTGTACACATGACAGAACATTATGAAACTTTATGAGGCATGTTATCATGAAATATGCTAATTAAACCACTCTATTTGTTGGAAATAAACTTGATCTTGTAAAGATTATAATGTGACTTTGATTTCTTAAAAAAATTATATATAATTTTTCAACGTTATTAAAATGTATAACCTTTGGTCTCCAGGCACACATAAAGTTTTATTTATTGTTGTGAAATTACCGAAAATCTTCATTCCAGTGTGTCCTGTGGTGGTATTTTTAAAAACACAATGCTATAGTTTAGGGTATGGGATGCGATTCTCTAATTTTGTATTACTGAAATGACAGAAACATTTTAGAAATACAACCATATGTGAGATATCTTGGTGAAATCAGGCGCTCGTCAAAATAGTGAAATTGAAGAAAAAGGCACTTTCCCACCAGTTTGATAACTTTTATCAGATTTTTGAGGGATTTGTTTTTGGTTCAACACCTTTCGTGTCCATATAAAAACACATTTCCATTTGTGAATTTCACAAAAAGGGTTGATTAAAGGCACACAATATGTAATTTTATCGTTTTCAATTACTCTCAGGCTATTGAAATTGTCAAACTTTTTCTCGCCAATTTTAACATTGAAACCGGGCGACCCTTCTTCCTTCCATCGCAAATATCTTGACTTTTATTCAAGATAGATGGGTATTTTTTCATAGAAAGCAACACAAATAAACATGCTTTAAGATGAGACCAATAACTCCAAATCCCCAAAAATTGACGAGCGCCTGATTCCACCGCGTCTTGACACATATGCCCTGGCGAGGTAATACTTGCACCATACGTAGACATATTATATATACTGTCTGGGAAGTCACAGAACAAACAGAATGTTCCGCCTCTTGTATCAGTCTGTGGTAGAGTAGAATGTTATCTCACCTGGACCACGATCCAGCCTCCGTTGTCTGTCTCAGTGTCGCAGACGACTTGCATGCCGTTATAAAGGGTGACCACTGGCCGAGGGGCTTGAATCGTGACGTCAGCACACGTATCGGGCTGAAAAAAAAAACAGAGAGAGAGTTTGATGCACGGCTGTAGAAAATGTCGAGGGGAAGTTGGTTTGGCGTTACACAACGCCAGTGGTGCTGAAAAACATCCGTCAGTGGGGCAGGCAATTTCTCAAGTCATCACTCAGTCAGTTTTCTTGTTTATCGCTAAGTCACTCTGTCAGTTTTCTTGTTTATCACTAAGTCACTCAGTCAGTTTTCTTGTTTATCACTCAGTCAGTTTTCTTGTTTATCACTCAGTCAGTTTTCTTGTTTATCACTCAGTCAGTTTTCTTGTTTATCACTCAGTCAGTTTTCTTGTTTATCACTCAGTCAGTTTTCTTGTTTATCACTCAGTCAGTTTGACAGTTTGTCACTCAGTCAGTTTTCTTGTTTATCACTCAGTCAGTTTTCTTGTTTATCACTCAGTCAGTTTTCTTGTTTATCACTCAGTCAGTTTGACAGTTTGTCATTCAGTCAGTTTTCTTGTTTATCACTCAGTCATGTTTTCTTGTTTATCACTCAGTCAGTTTTCTTGTTTATCACTCAGTCAGTTTTCTTGTTTATCACTCAGTCAGTTTGACAGTTTGTCACTCAGTCAGTTTTCTTGTTTATCACTCTTGTTTATCACTCAGTCAGTTTTCTTGTTTATCACTAAGTCACCCAGTCAGTTTTCTTGTTTATCACTCAGTCACTCAGTCAGTTTTCTTGTTTATCACTCCATCCGTTATCCTGTTTATCACTCAGTCAGTGCTCTTGTTTAATACTCTTGTTTATCACTCAGTCAGTTTTCTTGTTTATCACTCCATCCGTTTTCTTGTTTATCACTCAGTCAGTGTAATAATTCATGTAACTCTGAGGGGAGCTCATTCGATTCAAGGTCAGAACATTTGAACCGTTACTGTCTTCCATTCGTTCTTTTAACACAGATAGATAGATAGATAGATAGATAGATAGATAGATAGATAGATAGATAGATAGATAGATAGATAGATAGATAGATAGACAGATAGATAGATAGAGAGAGAGAGAGAGAGAGAGAGAGAGAGAGAGAGAGAGAGAGAGAGAGA